ACCCCCCAATTTTCGGAAACTCCCGTTCTCTAGTTGATTCTGCTTGCAGATAACCCTAAGTCCTAAACCGTAATATTCTAGGGGCCTTAATCAGCACCTACACTAATCGGGGGGGAGGGGGTCCTTAGTTATAAGTATGGTATAATCTACCCCGAAGCCCTAATTATTCCAATTATTCAGGCCCCAATACTATTCTCTACGTGGGGTCAAATTTGGAGTCAACAGGAGCTCAGAAGGACAGATGCCACAGAACTTTGCGGTTTAGGGTTTGGGGGTTTAAGGTTTAGGTGTTTAGGGTTTAGGAGTTTAGGGATTAGGAGTTTAGGGTTTAGGGTTTAGGAGTTTAGGGGTTTAGGGTTTAGGGTCGGATGCGCTATGTACGAGTTGAGTTTCGGGTTGAGTTTCAAGTTTGCTGGTGTCCTATGAAGACCATAAGATTCCAGCTTGCCGGCACACACCCAAAGCCCCTGCTGAAGGGTCGGATGCCTAAACCCGACATCCAAGACCGTAAGCGACAAGCCCAAAAGTTCTCGAACCTAAAACCTGAACACGCAAGAGTTGGAACCTCAAGCTGCATAAACGTCCCTCGGTGTCGCAGTTTGGCACCCGTCCCGTGCTGCGGTCGCCAGAGGAGCCGTAATTTTTGCCGAAGATATCAGCAAGGCTGTATCAAACAGAACTGGACGGACTCAGTTAGATGTGCTCTACATGTCAAGTCCTGCACAATGGTAGCGTTACCCTTGACCCGGAGCCCTGAACCTTATGCCATAAACTCGACATGAGCTCCAGGCACCAGCAACATGTCGAATGCGTCTGACATTGCCAACAACACCGGCCCAAATAGCTCCGAGCTCAGCAGTACGACAACCTCCTCGGCGAATCCTTCTGATGTCACTCGTCCACGTGCTTGCAGGGTCATTATCAAGGTGCCGTGTATTCCAGAGATTTCGGCTAGTGTGTTGACGAGGATTTCGGGTTGAAGGGCCTGTTTTATCACAATGCCTCAGGAGCTTGTTTTCAAGCGACAGCCAGGGTTTGATTTGCACATTGCCATCCCGTTGTTTGGAATATACCATAAATTATGGTAAGATCCCTAATAAGATTCAGGGAATATTCCCGAATTAAGGGATACAGGAGTCTCCGGGTACCCTAAGTACCCTAACCCCTAAACCCTATAGACCCCTTATAGGATCCCTTAAAGGAATCCTTAAGTGAACTGCTAAGGATCCCTTGCAGGAACCTTAATCTCAAACCCCAATGCAGAGGCTCCAATATCCTTTAATTCAGATTATAGCTTAAAACCCTGCAGACCCCTTAAAGGAACCCTAAAAGGATCCTTGGAGGAACCCTTAAAAGGTCCCAAACCCCAAAGCAGAGGCCTTGAATAATGCTAGGATCCTACTATACCCCTTAAAGGAACCCTTAAGGATCCCTTTAGGAACCCTTGGAAACAGAGGCGACTCCGAATCCCTAAACCCTGTAGACCCCTTCAAGGAACCCTATAGATCCCTTAAAGGAGCCTTAAAACCCAAAACGGAGGCCTTGAGTTGTAGTAGGATCCCTCCTTAAAAGGCCCCAAACCCCAAAACGGAGGCGACTCCGAATCTAGACCCTTACAGGAATCCTTAAAGGATCCCTTGGAGGAGCCCTTAAGGATCCCTTAAAGGAACCCGTGGGAACAGAGGCGACTCCGAATCTGGTTGAGTTTGCCTTGTCGGTCTCTGCTGCAGAGACTCTGAGGCGGTCCTGGCAGGCCGCTTCTGAAAGTTTGTTGCAAGTTTAGGGTTTAAGGGTTCAGGGTTTAGGGTTCAGGGATCATTCGTCCTGGCGGAGTCACAGCAGGCCAGTTGCAAAAGGGATCGTTCGCCCATGTCTGCTGCGTCAAAAAAATCTATAGTATGCTTATAGTACGTTAAGAGCTCCTTATCGAACCTTCATAATAACCTTATAGTATCTTTTGTAGCACTCTTAGGCCAGTAAGGGTACTCTTAAAGGAACCCTAAACCCTGAAATCGCAAGTTCTCCCTAGAACCCTGTATACCGGCAGAGCTGTGAGCGTTTCTTCCGCTTTTTCTTCCTGAAGGCACGGTGCTTTTACAGGTTCGTGGCACTTATATAGGAGCTAGGGTTATACAGTTATAAATAAGGTATACGTACTGATTTCTGAGTACATATCCCCAGTTAAGATGCTTAAAACTGTACGCTCTAATCCGATGAGCCTCCAAGCAAGCAGTTGAGCAAGCTACGTTCCGAAGCATTGGGACTTCGCTTCTGGAAGCTGAATCAGAAGCCTCGGGTCCGATTTGGTGTTCTGGATTTAGGGTTTAGGATTTAAGGTGGGTTTAGGGATCCTAATATGTTGGAGTTTATAGTACCAGAGTTTCTAAATCAGGGTCGTACAACGCACTTAACGAAGGAAGATTCCGGTCCTACGAAGCCTATACCCTGGACCGTAAAACCCGACAGGCCTAGACCCCATAATCCCTGAAGCCCAATCTTTAAGCTATTCGTTCTGCGAGGTACTATGGCTCCCTGCAGCTCTGTTGGTGACGATACGGTGAACTCCGGGTGGCCACCGCGTTCAACTGGATGTTTGCATTAGGATTTGTTGGTTTTGCAGGGTTCAGGGCCTTATGGGTTCAGGATGTATTATTCAGACTCGTACTATTAATTCATTAGCAAGGCCCAAGTTCAAGATGAGAAAGGGGACACCAAGCTCTTGAGCATCAAGAGGGTCCCTAGTCCTGGGTTGCCGCAACCCACAGTCTTGTAGCTCGTGATCGCGGGAGGACGTCCACCGGTGACTCCCTCGCGATATTTTCGGGCGGCTATACCGAAGCAACGGCACCTTCCGTTTGCTGGGACTTTAGGCTTCAAATGGCATCTCGAGTGATGCCGCTTGCGTACCAGCGCACGTGCGTGTACCCAGAGGCGAGCATGCGTGGTGGGGTCTGTGGGATATTCGAGTTCGTACGGTGAGATCCACTGTTATGTAATGTAGGGTCGTCCGAGTTACACACACATTCGGCGTCGACGGTTGTCAAAGGGAAGGGGTCCTCATCTCCCTCAAGAAGTGTGGTAACATGTCCTGAACCTGCCAGGCCGAAACTCTCAACCCTCATACGCGGTTCAGGGTTTAGGGCATGGGCCTCTACATGCCCTGAGCCTGAAAACCCACGCCCTGTAAAGTTCATGAAAGTTGGTGCCGTTGCTTCGGCTGCCATCAGAGTGAGTGCTGCCGCCCTACGCCCGCACCAGCCGGGCGGGGCGTCCTGCAACGAAGGAAGCTGACAATCAGCATTCCGTAAACGGATCCAAGGCCTCAGGGCTTACGCGGTTTTTGGAGTTTTTACGGTTGGTTTTCGGACTGAAGCTTGAAAGACATCATGAGCCCCTCTTATACCGGAAGTCCAAGCTCTGCAAGCTCTTCAGCAGCACACCAAATCTTGTCATGTAAGGACCTGAATTATGAGAATAGGGTTTAGGGGTAAGGAACTTCCCACATAGTATTTGTGATTTTTTGTCCTAATATTTATTGGTTGGGTCGAGGTATCTGGTGGTAGCAGTTTCAAGTTGTCCAGATCTTCAAAACAGCAAGGCCGCAAAACCATACAGATAATCGCGGCCTTTAGTTTGCACATCGTGTGAGATAGTCGGCACACTGTAGTCGTGGAGGACATCCCGTTGAAGTCCTTGTAACCTAGAGTTATGCCAGAACAAGAATCCCCAAGTTCTCTTCATTCGGGAATCGCAAGACCTTATCAGCAGCCCCGACAGCTGGCCTCCGATCCTGCAACTTCTTGTTTGCGAAGCATCCCAAAACTTCCAATATTTCTCACCCTTGCTGAAAGTAAAGAGGAGCCTCTTGTAAAGCCGACAAGAACCTCTCACATGATCTAAGTCTCTCAGCAATGCTCAGTGCAAGCGGTCTGTTGACATTGGAAGATCGGGAGTATTTGTTGGCGATTCATCTCCCTAAAGGAGGAGGAGGCGTGAAAAAGAGCCACTTCAAGATAACCTTCTTGAATCTTCGGGGTTTTACCGTTTTCAGGTCTTTCATGCCTTATCAGATAATTCATCATCGGGATTAGGGTTTCTGGCTGAAGATTGAAACAAAAGTTATGCGCGTCACTGTGAAACTGTCGTATTGGGCTTCCAAACTGGCTATACTATACAGGGTTGGCAAAACGACAAGTGCTGCAAACCACGGTGGAGATAGTAGTGGTGTGCAGCAACAGCTGACGACTGTGCAGCAGACCCAAGCGTCTGGAAGTGCCTTTGCTGCCATCCTTGGCGACGGGTTGGTCGTGACAGGGGGTGAGCCCGGCGGTGGCGGTGACAGTAGTGCCGCAGCAGGTCTGCTAGTATCGCTCACCGGGTAGATCCCTAGGGATCTAAGGACTCTTTTGTTAAGGCTTTTGGGCCCAAAGACTATACTATATAAGGCTTTTGGGCCATTTCGATCCCCAGGGGATTACGAATGGAACACCAGCAGCAGCACCGCACAAACTTTACTTCGGAAGGACACCCCGGGCAGCTCCTGGACTTGACACTAATTTGGGAGTTTCCAAAAATTAGGGGTACCTTATTTGGGGGTCCTTGTAATAAGGATCCTACTATTTAGGGTACCATATTTGGGTCCCCTATTTTCGGAAGCTCCCATTTAGCTCCTGACATTAAACCTCCCTTAGCATGAAACCTTTAGGCTAGGAAACCTAAGCTAAACACCCTGGAAGCCTTAAGCCTCTAGCCACACAGTAAATTCAACGGGAAAGATAACGCCACATACAACCCACTCAAGCCCTCAGCCCTAAACCCCAAACCCCTAAACCCTAAACCCTAAACTTAACTTGTTAGTCCGAATCTCTCTACAGACCTCGACTGGTATTGCCGAGTGTGAGTGTCAACCCTAAACTAAAGTCCCAAACCCAACAGCCCTCTGTAACATTCACCTTACACCTAAGCCCAACAGCCCTGGGTAATATTGCGACGGCTGTAAGGCTCTACGTCGGAAGGAAAAGGCCGCGGCCATCCGAGGCCGGCCAAAGGGATTCCTGAAGCCTCCGAAACCGTAAGGGTTCCTTCATGGGTTCCTTTAAGGGAGGAATATATCTGAAATCATATTCGTGTTTAGGGTTCAGGGTTTAGGATTTGCGGAATTGAAAAATGCATTTTAAATTTTATTTGTGTTCAGGGTTTAGGGTTTCGGTGGCTTTGTTTTAACGGGCTGTTGGGTTCTATACGAGGGGCTAAGAACTCTCGGCTTTTAGTGGCCTGGGGCTTTTGGTTCGGTTTGAGGAGTGCTTGCTTGGGCTTCTGAAGTGCGACTGTCGAAGATACCCAAGAAACCCTCGGCCTGAACTGCGATTGTAGGGTCCCTTTTTGGGTTCCCTTGGGGGTTCCTTTAAAGGGATCCTGAAAGGGTTCTATAAGGGATCTATACTAGAGTTCTATATTCTATATGGGTGGTTCCGGAATTAGGGTCCCTGTGTGGATCCCGAATACAGTACGGCACCTCATATGTAGGGTAACCAAAAAGAGACCATAATTTTGACAACCACCCAAATATGTTTTTGTATTGTTTACATGCTAAGGTATCCCCTCCAGCGTAATCCGAAAGACGAACACTCTGCCCAAAGAGCAAAATCGACAAGACCCACCCTAAACAATGATTTTTCTCTTGTCTAGGACCTAGAGTAGGCCCTTATTCCATTTTGTTAGGGTTCAGGTTCCCTGATAAGCCCCTTTGAAGCAGAAAGGGCACCCTTTTTGTTCCTAGTTACTCTTGCGTTTTGATGTTGTGATTCATAGACAAGCCTCTTCAAGTTCCCAAGCCCTCAAAGAAGCCTTTCGAAACCCTAAGTCCCTCTTGGAAATCTAGAGCACTCTCAACACCTCGCAAAAAGTACCCTAAACCCTAAATCCTAAACTCATAAGCCCTAAACCCGACAAGTTTTAAGTGCAAGTCCAGGTCGGCGGAGGCTCGCAACCCGCAGAAACATGCATGGAGAGCGCGCTGTAGCGAAACCTTAAACCCCAAGCTCTACACTTAAGCACAACACCACACCCCTGAACCACCTTCTCTGAATCGTAACCCTTGCTTTAGCACACTAAAGCAACCATTGCTTTACTGTTGATGATATAAATCCTGCATGACCGTCAGGACCCAAAACTATGGGAATTATTGGTATATTCCTTATTATGGTTAATGCAGGATTTATATCATGAACCGTAGCACACTAAACCCGGATAAACTGATCAACCCCGAAGCGGCAGCCTAAAGCCCCCCCAAAACATTATCAACCTGCAGTCTTCAACGGTGTAGGGTTTAGGGTTTAAGGTTTAGGGTTTGGGGTTTAGGATTTAGGGCTTAGGTTAAAAAGTTCAGGGTTGTCCATGGTTAAACAGTCCCCAAGGGTCCAAGTACCCAAATAGTAGGGTTTTAACGCCCAAAAACCATTCAGAGTATGGATTTTGGGACTTAAAACCCTACTATTTGGGTACTTGGACCCTCTGGGAGTTAAACTCCACAAGTCAAACTAAGCATGTTAACGCACAAATAAGAGACGACAGTGGAGACTCCAGCCCTAAAGAGCCCCCAAGCCCTACCCCAAACACTGAACCCGAAGCCCTGAACCCTGGTTTAGGGTGTGTAGGGCCTAGGGTTCAGGGCTAATCGGCTAATCCCCCTAAGAACCCCCTCCCCCCCAAGCTTCTACATGGGAACCAGGTCAGCTGTTGTCCGGGGCCGGAGGAGGCGACAGCCTCAACTCCCGAAACATCCGAAGCGAGGGGCTCGTAGGGGAGCTACTAGGGCTACTAGGGTTTTCAGGTGTACGGGTTTAGGGTCTAGGGTCAGGGGTTTAGGGTTAGTTAGTTTTTAAAGGTTTAGGGTTTTCAGGTTTGGGGGTTAAGGGTTTAGGGTAGTTCAGGGCTTAGCAGGCTTGTAACTGGGGTTTGTTGAGGTCTGAGAGGGCTTTATGGGGTTTAGGGTTTTCGGTTTAGGGTGTTATTAGGGTCTGCCGGGGGGTGTATACAACCTTATGCAAGAGTGTTGTAAGGAGTTGAGGGGGGCCTTTAAAAGCTTCTTACAGGATTTGGGCCTTGGGGTTTAGGTTTATAGGTGTATTATATACACCGAAAAAGGCCAAATCCTTGAATCTCCGTGTACAATCACAGCAAGTATACTGTGCCGCAAAACCCGATTCTACTTCTTCAGGGCCCCGTGATAGAATGGTGTAAGGTTTTGCGTTTGGATCTCGGCTACACGGTCGTGTCCAAGATCGTTGTTCCGGAGAAGGGTAGTATAGGGCTCAGGACTTGAGATTCTTTTCCAGGGCTTGGTGTATCTTTTTCGCTGGGTACGCAGTTTTTTTTCTCAGATCGCTTTGTAACCTCTTTGAAGTATATATGACACTGCCAAAGGCTAGCCTCTTCTGAGACTAGGCTACTTGGCCCCTGAGTTACAGCGTGGCCCACTTTCCACGGATTGAAGTCAAGACCATATTCATATATGGGGTGGCCATCAAAAGAGGCACTACACAATTGCATTCGTCGAAATATGAGTAAAAGATGCTACCGGTACTAGGAAGAACAGCTAACAAAGGGGTGGTAGCACAACCAAGCACTACCTTAAAAAGAAAAACCCTCGCCAACTCTAGAGCATGAATTCCTTGAGGTTCTTAACCCAGGAGCGCATTCTCCACGCACCAGTTTGAATGGAGCTCTCGTGAACCGTAGACCCTAAAACACCCTTGAGGACTTTAACGCTTTGGGCACATTCTCCGTGCACCAGTGTAAACAGAGCTCTCGCTAACCCTAGAGCCTATAGACTACCTCGAGGGTCTTAACTCCGTGAGCACATTCAAATCTATGTTCTTGTGCGAGTTTGCAACGGGTGGTGCGAGGCTTTCTAAAAGGCTTTAGGCCTCAAGATTTAGTGGTTCCGGAGGGTTTTACAGCTTTAGAGGGGACGAGTCTGCATTGAGTTCAGGGTGTAGGGGGGTTTAGGGTGAGAGCTTTAAAGGTCTCAGGATTTGGGTGGAGGCTACTGAACCCTAAACCCCTAAACCCTAAACCTGGAGGCTACTGGTTGCTTTTCCTAGATCCGACCTGTCTCAGGTGGCGAGGTCCACAGCGCAGGTGCCACACAAAGTACTCTGCACCCTTATAAGCCCTAAACCTCTTACTGTTTGGGGTTTAGACTTTTGGAACCCTGCTGTTTAGGGTTTGGGTGTCGACAAACCGGCAACCTAAAGCGTCAACCCTGTTTTTCTGCGATGAGATGTCAGGGTTGAGAGCCTTTGTAGCGTAAGCTGCCACAGTTTAGGGTTTCGTGCTTTTGGGGATTCAGGGTTGAGGTTTCAAGCTCTGGCCTGGAAGAGCGGAAAAGGGTTTAGGCATGTTTAGGCTGTGCTCAAGAGGAGTTGAATAGCGTGCAGGGTTTAGGTTTTCGGTTTAGGGTTTACTAAGCCTGAGCCCTTAATCCTGAAACTGCTTACTTGCTCTAAGTCTTTGGTGTTTGGTATTCTTTAGTTGTCCAGGCTTCGGGTTTTCTTCAAGGCCACTGGTGTTCGTTATCGAAGTTCGTGGGAAAATGCCTAAACCTATGAAGGCGTCCGACGAATACGCAAAACTTTTCATGTATATGTTGGTTTATCCTTTTCGGGGTTGTTGGTGAATTGTGGTTCTTGCTGTGTTTTGGGGAATGGCCTTTTTATCGTGAGAACCCTAAACCCTAAACTCAAAACAAACAGAGTATTGGTAATTATGAAGGCCCCTATATTAAACCTCCAGAGTCTTCAGGCCGCAGTTGTAGTTGTCCAGAGAGTGAACCGTGTGTCCTAATTAAACCTCAACCCTATGCTTCCAAGGACCTAATTATTGGGTCCTTAAGGGGCTTAGGGCCCTAACTATGAGGTCCTTGGAAGCATAGGGCAACCCTTAAACCCTGATTAACTTAAGCCCAACCCTACACCGTGGAAACCTGCAGTCTGACTTGTTTGCATCGTAGGACGACCGAATCACCTAAATCAAGGCCCAAAGCTGAAATAAATATCTTAGCATGCAAACCACAACGCTGAAATCTCACCCCAATATAGTAGAAGCCAGAAAGTTGGAATATGATTATCCTAACCCTTCTATGGTAAATTACAGGGTATCCTACCATGAAACCATATTCCAACTTTCTGGAGTGCCCTGTACTCCCAAACCCTGGGCCATCGCCATCCTCTCCCAGCTTGAAGAACTCCGACAGCCCTGGAAGCTCGAATCGCTGAACCCTGCGCCCGAACCCTTTGGTGTTCAGGACCCTGAATCTGTTGCGATATGTAATATAGGGGCTTTAATAATTACGTATACTATTGTGGGGGGTTCCTTATTTTAATTCTAGTATAATGGGCACCAAAATCCTTCGTTCTGTTCTGTTGAGGTCTGTAGAGCCCAGTTGGGCGTGACCCAAAACTTGCAAGGTGACACAAGCCCTAAGGGTCCATGTACCTAAATAGTATATACATTGGCCTTAAAGTACTCCCTATATGGGTACATTGGGCCCACGGTATATACTATTTGGGTACATGGACCCTTATACCCTAAACCCTTATAGATCCCTTATAGATCCCTTTAAAGGAACCCTTATGGTACCCTTAAAAGAACCCTATTTGGGTACATGGACCCTTAGGGAAGAAGCAACCTAAGATCGGGAGCCCGCTAGTGCCGTAGGCATAGCGAGCCAAAAGTCGGCCGCCAAGACTCGAGGTCCTTGTGACGATGCAGCAGACAACTAGGTAGAGCTTTGGGACATTTTATATTTTCCCTTATTGGGCTAAAGAGGATCTTGTTTACTAATATTTTTCAAAGGCTTTAAAAGCCCCACCTAGACAAGTAGTCTGCAATCCGGTCCACCTGTGGAGGCCAGCTCTGTCTGCAATTTGCAGAGCGCCTGGCTGCTCCAACTTGGTCTCCATCTTGCTCGGCGCCTGAGTATGCACTGGATGGATCGGCGCTCCCTTCACAGGCTGTCGAGGCGTCGCTCTGGGCCGGGAAGCTGGACTGGCCAGGGGCTCCGTCGCACGGGCAGAAGGAGATGAGACTTTTAACAACCTGCAACTTCGGGGCGAACGGTGCATGGCGGAGGATCTGGCCCTTCCAGCCCCTGCTCCCGCACTGCACCCCTAGAGCCTGGCGGTGGCAGAGTTGCTTGTGGAGGGAACATTTGTCCAGTCATGGTGGCCCAAAAGAGCCTCGTAGTGGCCTCCTAGGTCATCATACCTCCTGGTGTAGGCATCGCAGGAAGGGTACTCAGCACCTCCTGCGGATGCATGGCCCGATGCAGGACATCTCTCGGGTTGTCCTGCTCCTGCTGTTCTCGTCGCCATCGCCGCAGCATCGCATCCCATTCTCCGTCCTCTGCGGTATCCATGTGGGTGATCCTGCCTCCACCCTGAATGTACTGCCTGATGTGCTGGCGTGCCTCGTCCCGAGCTGCAGTTGCTGCCGCCAAGTCCCTGTCGATGGCAGCCACGGCTTTCTAGAACCTGGCCGCTTCGCGCAGGAACGACTTTTTCATGTCTTCCTGCCACTTGGCCCAGAGTTTCTCCTTCTGGGCCTTGGTGGCCGTTAGGCTGCGGACCTTTTGCTCCGCCCGTCTTGTGGTGTTGACATACTGAAGGAAGTCCGAGGTCATGCAGGCGGCTGCATCCTCCTCTGTCTCCTCATCCTACTTGGCCGGCTTGGCCTTCGACTTTGCCTGGTACTCCTCGCGAACCGCGGAGGCACGATCCTTGGTGTCGTAGGCGGGAAAAGCTGACCCTGCTTCCTCGTAGGCCCAGTGATCCTTCCCTTGATATTTACCCCGCTGATTGGCATAGGACCCATGTCTGTCGGTTGCCGCGACCAGCTGTGGTGTGCCCAGGCCCGTAGGCGCTGCAGGTCCCGCCGTGGCGGTGGCTTGTTGTTCGCCTTGTCTTGGTGAACTCGACGTCTCGCCCTGGATCTCTGAAGCCTCGCAGCTCTATGCCACGAAGGACTATGGCGTTGTCGCACCAGCGCTGGAAAATGCGCGTGCGAGCAAAATTTGCACTGGGGCTTGGGCAATCTCCGACACACCGTGTGTTCGGAGTCTTCTCGAGCCCTGAACAATCCTATTCTAACTATTATGGCACCTACTAAACCCTAAACCCTAAATATAGCCTATATAGTAGACCTGCAGCGGTTGGCGCTTCTTTGCCGGGCTTGCTGTCCAGCAGTTAATGACTACAGGGTAGGGTTTGGTACATGTCGTCGGGTGCTTATGTTTTAGGGTTTAGGGGTTTAAACGTTTAGGGTTTTGCTTAAAGTGGTGAGTGGTCGGTATCGGTTGCTGCAAGTCTTTCCCGGTAGAGTCGCTGCAGACCGGAAAAATGGTTTCGGATGCAGGATTACTGCCGGAGTTTACCGAAAGCTGCTTCTTTCGCACGGGGTTAAGTGCGCAGAAGCCTTGAGTCGCTTGTTAGCTTATGGTTTAGGCTTTAGGGTTTAAGGCTTCGGGGGGGTTAAGACCCAAAATCTTACACCATAAACCCCCCAAAACCCTAAACCCTTCAATAGGTCGCCTCAACATCCCCATGACTCCATTCTGCTTGGGCCGGCTCTCGTCAGGCCGTCTCCAACCGAAGCTGCATGGAAGTGCTGGACTTGAGGAGCCATAAGTAGAGGGTTTCGGTTTAGGGTTTGAGGGTTTCGGGTTTGAGGGTATCCTGCAATAAGGAGTATAATACATGGAGTTCCAAACGGATGGAGATTGCCAACCGAGGTTTTTTACTCATTTATGTTTACTTGGGTAAGACTGACGTAGATGCACGCCTAAATATGAATTGAAAAGTCTGTCTTAATGAGGTCAGATATTCAATCTGTTCCTCGCGTGTACAGGAAGACGAGATGGAGAAAGATGCAAACATTGCCTGAGTATATATGGATTTTCTCGAATATTTCCTTCTGCGATGAACATGACACCGAGTTTGTAGATTCCTCTGATAATTCTCTAATCAATAACAAAGATGAACAAGAGTTGATTATTGTGAAACTTGATATCCTTATATGATAATATTCTTAAGAGGAGGGATCAACATCTGTAATTTGGTTATAAAGAAGAATGACATGAATAAGGTCAATCATTCTTGGAGTAATGGAACATGGCCCAAGATAGTATTATTCTTCAATCGGGTTTTCGATGTTCATTCACATGATGTTTCGATTTACATATGCATATGTGTATATATATATATATATATATGTGTGTGTGTGTGTTTCCGTAATTGGTCGAAATTCTGATTTTCATAATATTATTAAGATGCCTGCGCTTTTATAGTGTTTGTAAATTATATGTCAGTTCTTCTGATATATATATATATATATATCTATATCTATATCTATATTTCTCTTTTACGTTTTTACAATGCGCACTATATAGTACATAAAATTAGGAGAAGATTATATATGGCAAAAGAATATTGTTAGATACTTCAACTTGTTAGATATTTCAAATTATCCATACAAAAAGTTTGAGAAAAGATTGATAGAGAGATATAGAATCAAAAATTAGTTCATATAACGATACAGAAGATATTAGTGTTTACATGTTGGTTTTACAAAAAGAAGTGATAAAACTGGAAGTACTATTTCGATAGTTGAGAAATTGGTGGACCGGATAACACCGCACGAGCATGTCTGTGGATAGTGATGAGCGGGTGGATGAGACCTCTAGAGCCTTCCAGAGGAGTGTGTGCGGCAATGTCAGTGCTCGTATTGTATATTGTGTTGCAGGGTGGTGTTGGGTGTGCTGTGTTGCGTGATCTGCGCTGTGTGTTGTGTGCTGTGTGTTGTGTGTGCTGTGTGCTCTGTCCTGTGTGCTGGGTGCTGTCTGTGTGTGTTGCGTGTGTGTTGTGTGTGTTGTGTGTGTTGCGTGTATTGTGTGCGTTGTGCACGTTGTGTGCGTTGTGTGTGTTGTGTGGGTTGTCCGTGTTGTGTGTGCTGTGGGTGTTGTGGGTGTTGTGTGTGTTGTGTGTGTGTTGTGTGTGTGTGTGTGTGTGTCATGTGTGTGTGTGTGTGTATGTTGTGTGTGTTGTGTGTGTGTTGTGTGTGTGTGTGTTGTGTGTGTTGTGTGTGTGTGTGTTGTGTGTCTGTGTTGTGTCTGTGTTGTGCAAGTGTTGTGTTTTTGTCGTTGTCGTTGTCGTTGTTGTTGGTGGTGGTGGAAGCGCGCAACCAATACTGGCATGGAGACCCAGTATGTGATTGCACCTTGTTGTTGTTGTGTCCGTACGATGTGCGTGTGTGTAGGTGGAGCCGCTGCTTGGTGTATTGCATGATAATGGCGATGTTGCCATTGTCGAACGCGGATCCGAAGCTATATTCTGTAGGTTGTCTTCTACCTCATGCATGGTTTTCCACTGCGTCCACTATAATAACCTATCCTTTCAGGCAGAGCGCTCCCAATCACCAGGCCACGAAACATATCGGCCAGACCTGCAGGACTGAGCTTTCGGCATTTACGAATGTGTCTGGCTGTTACTCAGAGTGCAAGTATGTAGCTGGGGGTAAGCAGGGTTGTATCACAAGTGTGCTTGCGTGAGCAACCATGAGCAGATTTTCTGTGCAGTCTTTGTCAGTATGTGACTGGATTGACTAGATGCGGGCAGGGTGCTTCGATGTTGCAAACCGCCTGCCACGTGGCTCGTGAATGCAGCAACCTTGCACCCCTTCCTGGAAGTTCGGCACTCGACACCATGAGGAGAAGCTTTGCGGCATTGAGCTTTGATTGTAAGTTTGTCCAGTCAATAGTGTAAGTGGTAAGTGGTAATATGTGAAGAAAGATAATGTAGCAGCTTAGTGCAGAAGGCTTGACATGGTAGGCATGGCAAGCATGGCTATCATCTCCATAACCTTAATTTAGGGGCTATCGCCAAGAGTGGGCAACGCACAAGGGCAGCGATGAACTTGCTCGAGGTTGAGATGGCTTGAGAAGACGGTCCACCGAAAGCAATCCAGTTTGCAAACATAGTATTAATAGTATAGCATAAGATAGCCTAGCGTCGCATGAGATATCATCGCATAGCATAGCATAACATAGCGTAGCATACGATAGTATAGCATAACATAGCATAACATAACATAGCGTAGCATAAGATAGTATAGCATTGTATAGTGTATAAGATAACACGGCATAGCAAAGCATCGCTCTACTCGACACCACGCCCCACTATACTTCAGCACACTACACTAAGCTCTACCTGATTCCCGAGCCCGCTTTACTCTACGCCGCTCTACTCTGCCCCACTTCACCCTGCCCTACTCCACTTCACTTTGCCCCAAACCACTTTACTCCACTCTACTCCAGTCACTTTACTGCACCCGGTTTTACCTTACCCCACTTTACCTTACCCACTTCTTTAGTACCCATTCTACTTCACCCTACCCCATTTTACGTGTTCTACTCTGCTGTACAACACCCGACTTTACTCTCCCCCACCCCACCCCACTGCTTTACCCCAAGCCACCTTACTTTACTGACACCACGCCCGCCCTGCCCCACCACGCCAGACCAGACCACACTGCATGACACGACTGCACCATAGCACACTGCTCACCGCATCACGGCGAAGTTCTTAATGGCACAGAGCCACACAGCATAGAACGCGACACCGCCGCTGCCCACGACAGTGCCGACCAAGGTGCGACGGCGAAACCCGGGCACGTGGACACAGCCTTTTTCTCGGCAAACGTTGTCGAGGCCGAGCCGGCATGTTTGTTGACAGATATCGTTGGGTCGCCGGTATATGGGTTCCGACAGGTTGAGTCCCAGAAACAGCATAAAACAGGACAGCCTGTGCCATGATGCGGTGAAAGCTCCCATGCCATTCATCCGCGCACCATCCTCGCAATCTCAACAGTGCAACTTGCAAGCAGGATTGACGCTGATGTTTGAACCTCTCAAAACTTGTTCTTTTCAATGGCCAGCGGCTGTGCTCATATCAAAATGAAGCCCAACTTCAACAGTGCCTGGAAGCATGACACATGCATCAGTCCATGCAGTGTGATTCACCCGGCCCGCCCGTGCTTGCATTCCTTCGTCAGCACCCGCCGTGCACTAAGACTTGGTCGTGGTGCTTTGTCTCGCATTCTCACACCGCCTTCTCTGCTGCCTGTTTTGGTTTAGGGCAGGGCTTAAGGCTTGGGCTTCAACGTTTGGTTTTCGGGTTTGAGGTTAGGTAGGGCTTAAGCGTCTAGGGCTGGGATTTGAGGCTTTAGGGCTAGGGTTTCAGATTTTAGGGTTCAGGGTCAAAGTGAGGCTCAGCAGTTGGCCCTAGATTTGGAAAATACCTTTAAAACAAGCCTACCCGAAACGGTAAACCTCAAAACTCTTCGAATGGGTGCTGACCCTAGTCAACCATTGATCTGCTCATCTCCCCAGCCCAGCCCAAAAACCACAGCCGCCCCGGGTCACCCCCAAGTTCAGTGCTTGAAACATTCTTGATGGCCCAGAAGCGCTTCAATAAGTGCTTCCCTCCGAAGACTGTCGGCCCGCAGGTACTTTCCGGCATGCCTGGCCCTTTAAGGGCGCACTGCATGCGCCGCTCGGCATCAATGGGGCAACGCAATACAGCACAACGCAACACAGTGTGGCTTCGCCAGTCCGCGATAGAGGCCAACAGTGCTTGAACCAGGACTGACAACACTCTGCCCGTAGATGAAGCTCAAGTGCCCGATCCTGGCCATAAGGGTGAAGAAGACGGGGGTTTGCGTTTACCTCAACAGACGGGGTGGCTTTTGCTTCGCAGCCAGGGTCAGCATCACCAGTCTACGACAAAGGACAAGGATTATGTAAAAATAAGGATGATGCGCATGCGTTCTGAATTAGTACATCGCGTGTTGGAGGGCCTTATAAGGTTGAAGAGACGCCTTCACGGTAGCGAGTTTTATGGACACTTTGGCCCGTGGGGACGGCATCAAGCTCTTAATTGGTTCTAACACGAAATAGGTGCTGTGAAACAAACCCATCTATAGCAGCGCATACAGTGTGTGTACCCAGTCTTTGTACAGTGTTTTGACAGCACCCCTCGACCGCAGGGGCCCTTTGGACCAAGCCTAAAGCTTAGCGGAAAAGTGATTAGTCTTCGCACTGGTAGCGGAGCACTCGGTTAAGAGAACCAGAGCTCGAGCCCGATAGGACGCCCACTGCGTGGGCGTGGTCGCCATGGCTAGTGGACCTCTGGCCTATCGACCACATCAGGATCTGGACACAGACCTGACGAAGTTGGGCTTCCTGGTCCATGCCGGAACCGCTCGTGATCTTCACGAATGGGAGTTCCGAGCTATGACTAGATGGAAGCAGACGAAGGTCGACGAACGGTCGGACCTCGCCTCCGACTCCTGAAGGAGCGAGGCATACATCATAGCCGAAGACCTGGGGACGGACATCCCTTTTTCGAACGACAACAACCCCCAAGGTCATAGAGGCAGTGCGGGACAGACTCTTTCCTCTCGCCGAGCAGGAGTCGAAAGAGTTGCACCGCCTCGGCACGCTGGTCGGTGGTGTGTTGTCGCGACAGCCTGGAGAGCCAATGGTCTCCTACATAGATAGGAGGAAGCGCTGGCTACGAAAGCTCCAGCAGATGGACAAAGCGACGCACATAAGCGAAGCCGTCTTGACCGACGTG